AAAAAGAAGGCTGCCAAAGAAGAAAAAATGGGAAGGGCCATTCAAGCCATAGGCACTTCTAAAAGAGACCCAAGGGTTCTACTTAGCTGGAAATTTCTTCTTTGTGTCCAGCCAACCTGGTTCTAATTTTGCCCGCTGAGGCCACACAGAGCTAGACATCAGATAGTGTGAAGAGACTATTCCTGAGTATTCCCTCTCCGTGAGAAATATCCCTGGTTGTTTCAGACACTCTGCCTCTCATAGCATGATTTCAGAACCCTTCACAGCCCCGCATTCCTCTCCCCTGAGCCATTCCACCTGCCACTATCCCTTATAAAGAGTGGTACTCAGAATAAGTCATAGGACTCACAGTCCATCATGGCCACATCCCCTGCCACCTTCTCTCGCTCAGCTAACAAGCAAAGGTCAGCGAGACCTCAGAGTGATCTGTTAGAAGAAAGAATGCCAAGAGCCGCAGCCACACCACATCAGCCCCACCTGTCAGAAGCAGTAAACTTCGGATTGCTCTGTCTTATAACATTCTTCAGCTCTATAAAGGTCCCTGCAGAAGAACAGACAGGCTCTCTTTTTACCAGCTTTTGGTACCCCCTGCTGGCGAAATTGTGTGACCCAATTGACAAGAATCTCAGAACAACTAGAGAAAAAACTCCAGGTTTGGGAAGTCACAAGTATTTGAGTCTTGAAGGATCTAAGGATTCCAGGAGTTATGCACCCTTCCGTGTATCTTGTGACTATTTTATGAGTTTTTTTAAACATTCTATAGCTAGGCTATTCTGTAGGCTCTGAGAGAAAAAAAAATCTCTGACTTCTGTGAACATTCCATTAATTCTGCAAACGTCCCAAGAGTTCTGTGACAACCACAGGAAGGAAACGCTAAGTTCTTCGCCAAAAATATTCATAAGTAGAAATATTCCAGATCACAAGCTAATTTCATGCAGGTTTTTCTTCCTCTTTCCTTGCGTGTATCTTTTTTTAAAGTGGTTATAATTTGCAGTCAGGGTAGGATAACAATCTTTTCTACGCTTCAAATTGGAGACTTTTAAGTATGAAATTATACAACGAATTTATTGAACACCAGCTATGTGCCAGACACTCAACAAGAAATTGGAGTAGGTGCAAGAAGTCAAAAGCCCTTCACGCAAGAGGTTCTTGCCTTAGTGGGAAGGAGAGTTGAAATGCTGCCATTGGACTAGTCAAGTGCTTAGCTCACAAGGCAATGAGGCCTTCCTTGATCTCCTGACAGGGTTCAAACCAGCTATTTACTTGCTCATAGCTCCACGTATTTCCCCTTCTTGGCTTCCATCACCTCTGTGATTTTATATTTGTTTCTGTATTTATCTGTTTAGTGCCTGTCTTTGCCATCAGTCTCTGTGTTCCATGAAGATCAAGGTCATGTCTGGCTTTTGACACTATGACCTTCTTACATCTATCAAAGACTGGTACATGTAGGTGCTCAATAAATATTTGTTCAATGGACGAATCAACCAAGAAGAGAAAACCACAAATCTGTTTAGAGGAGCAAGAGGAAACCTCAAAGGAGATGTGACATTTGAATGCCTCTGAGCCATGAAGGATGAAGAGGAGGTGGCCAGTGGAGGAGAATGGGGACACATTAAGGGATGTAGAGTATTGAGGAATGATCAGGGAGGGAGAAGAGGTAGTTGTTATTTCCTAAAAGGAAATGTGTGTGGAAGATAAGGCTGAGTTGAAGCCTGGAGCTGTAGTCTAAGGGTCTTATATGCCCTACTCACAAGTTTGAGTTTTTCCTTCTCTTAAGGAAAAGGGTGGGATATCAATTAAACTCTATGGCTATCAGAATGAATATGATTTTGTCTGTATTACTGAGAAGGTTTTTTAATACTTAAATTTTAAATTCTGATAGAATAAAGATAGATCCCAGAACTGTGATTTTGTGTTTTATTTCCTTCCACATCTTCTCCATTTCCACTTTGTAACTGCGTTTACCTGTTCCTGAAACACCTGTCTATTCACTTTGAAATTATTATACAGCATCATCATCACCATGAATACATAGTGTCAACTGAGGGCTCAATACTGTAGATTTCATACACCTGCGTTTTTACAACTCAATTAGTTGTCCGATTTTTAAATATCTCTACGTTTTGGAGAGGCTCAGTTTTTCATTGTTTTTTCATCTGGGTGTTCAGAGCTACCTAGACATTTCTGTAAAATGCCAATTTTCGTGGATGCAGCGAGGCCTTATTTTTATTATATTCCTTTGGAAACCAATGATTTGTGCCTAAGACAACTCTCTCCATATTATTTCACCCTAAATGGAATGAGATTGGTTGGGAGTTCTGCCTCCAAGGAACTATCAAAGCCTCCAATACATACTCATTTATAGTTTTAAAGTTAACTCTCTTATCGGATTTCCTTTTTATTTCCTGCTGGGGCAATGTGAGCCAAGCTCTGATGGAGGCAAAGGATCTGCTATATATCTTTTCCAATTTATGATTAAGAAGGTCACATATACATTTTTAAACACGCTCCTTTTTGATAATAAATGAAGAATAAAACTTCAAAATGTCATCAGTCGCAGAATTACTCATTTTTCTTCCGTTAGTGTCCCCCTACCCTCTGTCTGATTGTCTGCCAATGGTGAGAAAAGACACAAGTGATCTCATGCTTTATTTCTTGTTTTTCTCTCTGCCTGGAATAGTTTCACTAGTGGAACAGAATGCCTGTGGCCAAAGCATTCTAACGAAAGATGCATTCCTAGTACTGAGTGCCCTTCTTTCCACAGGCCAATGAACATTTTTAAAAAGAAGAAAAACTCTGTTTTAGGCTGCATTTATCTTCAAATTGTGGCCAAAATGAGGGAGGTAAAAGCTCTTCTCCTCTTGGTGGAGATTTCCTGGATCTAGATTCACTCCCCATGCTCCCGCGCTCTGCTCTCTGCTTGCAGAGCTAGATCTGTCTGGACTCCACGCCTCTGGCTTCCAGTTGGGTTCAGCTAATGAGAGCCACTATAGGAGGTCAGAGGGAGGGGGGAGAATGTAGTCAGAGCTTTATGCCTCTGGTTCCCTCCCTGTGAGGTCATCCAGGACTGGCTGAGTCTCTCAAGGGAAAGACACTGCTTCTGTGCAAGTGACCTCCTCTTCATGACTCTCTCCTTTTAGGTTCTGCTGACTGCTTCCTCTACTTGTCCCTCTGGACACAAGGCTGGTAAACAGTCCTCCTGTCACTATAGTATACCTTGGATTCGCTACACCCTTCTCACCTTTGTCAACAGTCCTTTTACACATAAACACAAATGATCCTCATGTACATGTGCCATCTGTCATTATTCTGTGCAGTCCACACCTGCATCAAGGGACTCCTGTGAAGGAAGATACTCTCATACTATCAAACTAGAATTGATCCTAGATGAACTCCTCTAAAATACTTCTAAGTCTAGGTTTATCCTTTCATTTAATACCGACCGAGAGCTCATTACCTCTTGAAACCGCCTATTTCATGATCAAGTGGAATCACGGATGGCACTGAATTTTACCTCTCTGAGACATCTGTTCTTTCCGTATTGATATAGGAGTGACCAAGATTGAATTTGTTGCCACAGCCTGTGAAAAATGGAGCAAGAGACCTGGAAGAATTTACCCTCAAGATATTTAATGTGCAACCAATAGCCTTTCCTATCATAACATAATATAATATAGGAACATAGTAACTATACTTAGATGCATAAATATTGGGCAAACTCAGTGGGACCATGTTGGTTTTTTAGAAATATTTGAAGAACTGTCATATGCAAGAGGAGTGAGTCATATTTTTATATCTCTGATAATAGATCTAAGACCAATTAGTTAAAATTTAAGGGAGGTAGATTTCAAATCCATATGAAGATCTGTTTAACCCTTCAGCTCCCTGGTGAAGTGTCAAAGTCTCGATCACTTGTTATAATCCAGGGATTTCACAGTGGGGCTGTTGGAGGGGGATTCAGACCTCAGAATGTCGTGGGACCAGTGGTGATTATGTAAAAACAAGAATAGCAGCCACCATGTGTTGGATGTTCACTATGTGCCAGGCACTGTGCTCTGAGTGTTTCACACATTACCTCATTTAATCCTCACAACCCTATGAGGTTAAGCCTACTGTTTGCCACAGTATACAGAGGAAGAGTTCAGAACTTAAAGGCGTTGAGAAACTTGCCCTGGGTCATGCAGCCTGCAGGTTGTGGAGGGTAGGATATGAACCCAGGTCTGCCTGACATCACAACTGACAGTTGTAACCTCCAATGGACAGTGTCAAAACGACCTGGGGAACTTCGTGCTTATACAAAGGTCCAGGCCCTGTCTTACCTCCATGAGCTTAGGCATCTGTGTGTTTTCCTCAGCTCTTCAAATGATTCTAATTTACGCCAGAATTTGAGAACCCCTGCTCTAAACTAGTATTATGGTAAATGCCCTTCTGGTTTTGAGGGTCTGTTATTCCTATAGGAATAACTATGCGTCAAGTTCAGCTTTAACTTTTCTCATTTTGAGCTACAAGAATAACTAACTTCCACCCTCACCCACCGCCAACCATCAGGCCCTACTTCAATCTACCATTGTTTGGTGCGTTATTTCATGAGCTCAGTCCCTGAGAGAGGCTTGGCTCCATTTTGAATTTCACTTAGAGCCATGGGAATAGAAAGATCAATCTGGCTTCTCCCTCCCTTTGAAAGGAGAGTACGGGAAGCGTCATGCCAGTCTCATTGATTTCCCAGGTTAAGCTCGAGTAAAGAACATACCCATTGTTGGGAATGAGGCAGGATGAGCCTCATGTTTCTGAGTAAATGGAAGCCACTGGAGGTTTCGGGAGGATTTAGGTTTATTCCACCTTGATATTGGAGGAAGCATCTTGACTTTATTCCTGGAGGATGAACCAAGTTTGAGGGTTGAAGATGATGGGTGGGGAAGGAGAGCAATCTGATCTTCCCAATGCTTTAATGCAACTGGCACCATCTGACTGTGATTTTTCCCCTTGCACATGTCCCAAAGGAAGCTGGCCAAGAAGCAGAAGGAGACACAGAGTGGAGCCCAGAGGGAGATGGGGCCTGTGGCCTCTGCCGACAAACCTACCACCAAGCTCAATGCCAGCCGCAACGATGAAGGCTTCTCTAGCTCTCAGGACGTTAACGGATTCAGTAAGTTGAGCCAACTAAGGGGAAGGGGACATCCGTGGTCCAGCTTGACCCTGGTACCTCTGTTGTGGACCCCTCGTGGTGGTCAGGTGCTGTAGGGCGTGGAGTCTAGATGCTTCCCTGGGGTGCTCCAGGGATCAAGGTTCTCCCTGGAAAATTTAACAATTTGGAGTAGAATTTAAGAATCTACCCCAAAGTAGATAGAAATGGAGGCAAGCCATTTTAAATGCAATAGACAGAAATAAAGATAGGTCAAAACTACTAATAGTCAAAAAGGAGGAGGACACAGTTATGCCCTTAAGGAGAAAAACATGCCATATTGAATGTCTTACAGTTTTCAAAACAGTGTTTCACAGAAACCATGTAAGGTGGGTGAGTCATGGATTATTACTGTCTCCGTTTTGAGTACTTAGGAAACTGAGTATCTGAGAGGTGACTTCTCCAGAGAACCATGGCTGATGAGTAACATTTCCAGACCTACAGGCTGTGCCTCCCAAGCCTTGGCCAGTTCCAAGCTAGTGTTTAGTCAAGAGCGCCTGTGTCCTTATGCAGAGTTAATACAGGATGCCAAGCCTATAGAAGTGGCTAAGATTTCGGGGTTAACCCTTGTCCAAAGGAGAACCTCAAGATGGGTAATCTAAAGCTAGCTTTGTGATCAGACTCAAGAGAGCTGACTTTTGTTCTTATCTTTCTGTTAGTCAGTTCTTTCCTGGATTTAATAGAAATGCTAGATTCCCCAGCCTCTGCTCCAAATTGGGGAGTGCAGGAAATCTAAAGTAATATGAGCATCAACGAATGTCCTCCCCACACTGTATCAATGGCAAATGAAAGAAATCATATTTTGTGAAAATCACTTAGATGTGATTGATCAATTTGGGATGATGAGAATCTATGAGAGAATGAAGAAAGGAAGCAAACAAATATTTATTGACCTCCTTCATCCTTACTTCCTGTGACTGTTCCCAATTTATAGGTAAGGTATCCAAGGATCAATGTATTGGGCCGACCTTCCCAGAGAGACATAGCCAGCTCCTGCTGGATCCGGGATCTGAGGATAACTCAGACCCGTGATTCCTAACCTGAAATGCAGCACAGAACCCATCTAAGGAAGTTTTCAAAATACATATATCTGGGGCTGGCACTTTACTCACTCAATCAAAATCTCCTGGAGGATGAAGGGTAGGATGGGGACTCAGGGAGGTGGCTTTTGCAAAAGCCATTCAGGAGGTTCTTATAGGCACCCTGGTTAAGAACGCTGGACTTTGAGGGAGGCAGTAGCTGTTTTCAAATATTGGCGTGCTGTCTTGGGAAAGAGAGATTAGTTTTAAATCTATAAAAAGATTGAAAAAAATAGCAAAATGAAAATTCATATACCCTTTACCTACATTTGCCAATTGTTCACATTTTGCAACATTTGCACTTTGTCTCTCTCTCTCTTTCTCTCTTTCTCTATATATAATTTCTGAACCACTTAGAAGTAAGTTGCAGACATCATGACATTCCACCTCCAGAGAATTCAGCATGTGTTTCCTAAGAAGTAGGACAGCTGTTCAACATAACCACAATAAAATTATCTTACCCAAGAAATGTAACCTTGTTTAAATGATAACTAATACACCAGTGCGTATTTGGATTTCCTCAATGGCCCTATTATTTTTTTAATCCAGGATCCAATCAAGGTACTCACGTTGTATTTGGTCATCATATCTCTTCACCACCTTTCATCTAGAACAGCCCGCCTACCTTTATTTTTTCTTTCAGGATGCTGACATCTTTTAAAAGCCTAAGCCGGTTGTCCCTTAGATTGTTCCACGATCCAGATCCATCTGATTTTTTTCCATCATGATAACATTCAGGTTAAACATTTTGGCAAAAATACCACATAGGTCATATTGTGTACTTCCCTTTGCATCGTATCCATAGGCACACATTATCACTTTGCCCATTATTGACGTTGCTAAGTTTGAAGACTTCTTAAGGTTGAGTAATAGCTTTTACAGACAAAGTCTAATGGCACATACTGATTAGTTCATGAGCAGATATTTAACTTCTATTTGTCTCAAACAGCAGAGCAAGTTTGCAGTCTACCTAACCATAAACCAGTCCTTCTTCCATTCTTAACCCAGACACATTTCTCGGATTTATACATTCCCTAGGGACCGGGAAAAGGGGATATCGACATAGGCCAGGAGAAGCAGAAAGGCGTTGGCAAGGAAATGGACTTGGCTTGTCCTTAAAGAAAGGCTCATCTTGAGCTGCCTAAGCCTCTGGCTGTATTAACGTGTCACTGACTCTCCTGCTTTTAGCCCAGGGGAAAGGATGTTCATTAGCAAGTCTAGCTGATGGAACATACTGGCCAAGTGGTACCCATTCACCCAAAACCTTTGCTGTAAGGCCAGCCTTGTGCACACACTTTTTTCCATTTATCAAAATGTCCTGGGAGGACTCTGAATGCCAAAAAAATTAGGGTCAAAGATGCATGATAATCATCTGAAATTGTAAATATTTGATCTTAAGCTTTCTGATCTCAAGTGAAAACCTGGGTAACACTGATTTTTTGGATTTCAGGGGGAACCATCACCACTGTTTTCCCCATGGGCTGAAACTTAGATTCTTAAGAGGAACGTATTCAAGACTGAGGTAGATTAGCCAGCCAGAAAGGAAGAAGAAGCATATCCAATAGAATCTAATTAGATGTTTTAAAGTCCAGAGACAGTCTTTCCAAATAATTAATGTATTTTATATATATATATATATATACACACACAAGACATATACACACTTATATATACATATTATATATATATATACACTCACATTTTAATGATGTTGCTTTTAAAGAGACAGAAAAATTCTATTGACATTATACATACTTATTAAGAAATTTTGCATTTGTTTCAATCAATGAGTGCTTTAGGACTCAATACATCTGATGTCCTCAGGCTACAGCCACAAACATGCTCTCGGGATTCTTTTGAATGCCCTGGAATGCATCAGGTACATTTTAAAATGCCCTGTGGAACCACTGGGATGAGATTCGAAGGGAGAAAAATGTAAGTAATGCTTACACTGGAGATGTAGAAATTGCTTCTGAAATCGCCCTGATGTATGTAAAATTGAATCTATTTTCGTGGCATTAGGAAAGTGACTGTCTGGCTTCTGCATCGGTGTCTTTAGGAGACCCTGAGGTTATTTGCAAATGTTGAGGAAGTATTGAGAGAGGCAGGGCACGAGAATGGTTGTCACATAGGGAAAGATTACAGAAGAACGTGCCCTGAGCAATTATTTCATTATTGAACAAGTGGGCTCTTGCCTGATTCACACTCTACGCATCCCTGTGTAGGTTTGTTTTCTGGGGTTTTCATTCCAGGTGACTGCTAAATTTGCAGCATCCATTCAATCAAGGCTCCCAAATTTGTGTAGGAACAATGGCCTCGGGCCGCAGGGTTGTTGGGGCTCTGTCAGGTATGGGCTGTTGCTTTGGAGTGCTGAGGTATTCTTGAAAAAGGAGAGCATGTCACATTTCAGGGACAAACAATGTACATTGTTTTCAGTTTAAAGAAACTCTTGCTTTTATTAAGTAATCTGATTTTGATCTTATCGCTCTGTGTACCTGATTGTTATATTTTTCTGAGATCTTTCATTCACTGGGATCATTTTGGGGGTCTTTCTTCTGACACGTTTTTTATATCCATGCTTAAACCTTCTTCTTTATATCTTTTATTCATAGTGTCCTCTTCTCTTTGTTCATTTTCAGTCCAAATCAAAATGCTTCAAAGCAAATCCATGTTGAATTCCTATGATATGGGGCTGGGTTGTCTGCCCTTCGCATAATGGTGTTTGACAGACTCACTGGCCCACTGGGCACCATTAGTTAACTCTGTCTTTGCCGTTATGCTTCTGTTCTGTTGAATGATTCCATGTTGGTGGGTGAAGGCAATCCATCTCTAAGGATCGTCAGACACTGGGCCTTCAAGCTCTTTGCTAAGTAAGGAAGCAGGCATGATTGAGGCCTTGGAGGTGAGATTCAATGGCCATTTTCTCAATACTTAGTACACGCCTGTCCCTGTGCTATGAGTCCTGGGTGCAGATTGGGAAGGGGAGTAATTACAACATGAATATAATGGGGCAGTGTCTCACAAATAATGAATGTTTCTACTTGTATGTTTTTCATAGTTTACGAAAGCTTTTTGCAAAACACTAGAGCCACAGAGCCTTGTTCCCGCACCATAAGCAGGTCTATTATTACTCCCATTCTACAGATGAGGAAACTGAGGTTCAGAGAGACTCCATACCTCAAATCGCACAGTCATTGCCAAGTCATAATAAGGATCCATTTCTCCTGACATCAGTTACGTTCTGTCCACCTAGTTATGCAAAGAATTTGGGAATGTATCCAATAAAAGTACCTACAATAAGACAACTGTAAGAGAAGTGAATAATCAGGATCAGGAAAACAGAAATGGAGACAAGAAGGCCAACACTAGGTTATATTAAAATGTAATTATATTATATTAAAATGTAATATAACTTGCAGGCTAGTAACTTTCATATTCCAATTTGGCTCTGAGCTGTCTCGTAGCAAAAGCCCAAACAAGAAGATAACTTTTCTTGGCGCCCACTCTGTGCTAGATATTATGCTTCCCATTTTGTAAATGAGGAAACTTCATTTCAGAGAACTGAAGTAATTAAGCCCACAGTCTCACACACAGATAGTAGAGATGCGATTGGAAACCAAAGAGCGTTCTCTGACTCCAGAACCCACGTTCCTACTCCTGTACCTTGAATGGTAGCCCACCACACACCGGTATTCCTGAGTGAGGCCACTGATGGCTGGGAGAGAGGGAGAGCTCCACTCCTCTCCCAATGGCCAGCCAGCTTTTCTACCATGTGGGCAGAAGCTGCTTCCAGAGCTGTGTCCTGCATAGAGGTCTGGGGCTGGGCACTGGCATGGAGTCAACCAGATTCCCATGAGGTGCCAGGTTTGTGATAAGCATGTCCAA